ATATTTAATGGCATTTGTCAAGTACTAAGTTAGGTCGTGACCACAAAGTCCAGCCCCTACAGCAGTTTACAGCGGTTTGGAAGAAGTGAAGGACAGCTAATGTCAAGGTGCATTTTTGCAATTTGTGCCGCTGCTGATTTACCAAGGAGAGTAGAGAACTGTGAGTACTGGGGAGAAACAAGAATACTCAGCTGACTTGTCTTTAATAAGTTAAGATATAAATGAATATGTATCAGAACATCAGGGTTATAAATTGTATGTAAAATAGTCTCTCTAAAAGGAGTTACGATGGTCTGTGTACTTGGTCCTATGAGACATACTTTCACTTTGGACTTCATAAATAAAAAAGTGGACATACACACAGTATCAGGGTCAGAGATATCTCATTTGCAAAACACAATCTTGAAATGTGATGGTAAAGTATTTTCAATTTGCAAAACCCAGTTGTCAGAAAGACATTTTATCCACATCAAAGGCTTGTTGCTGCACAAGGTTAGCTTTATTTTCTCTCAATAATAACCTACTTGAGTGATAAAAGCATCAAATTATGACACACATTTAGAGTTTTACTTTTGAAGCAGTGCCTCTGCAAGACTGTGAATGATGTTGGAGAATTTCATGTGTAACCTGTGGGCAAATAACCAAAACCAAGATGAAATAGTTGAATAAACGCATGTGTAAGAAGGGAGAGGCGTTTGAGTCAGAAAGCCTGGTTGTTATGCTGTTCACAGGGTTGATGACAATGCTGTTTCCAGGTTACACGCAGTATTTTCCTATTAAGTCAGAGCAACCTCTTTGACATCACCAGCTCTGTTAATGTATGACGTGCTGACCTCTGGATTTCACTGCCACACCTGTTTCTCTTCTGAGGATCCTAATGTTCCAAAATTAAAGGATGCATCCACTCTTTACATTGTTTAACTAGATGTCACTACTCCCTCCTTTGGGTGACCTTGATTAGTGGAATATTTGCCTATCTGATCTAACGAGCCTGATTTGACTGCCAGTAGCGGAAAAATGTACTACTGAAACAATGGATTATTATCTGTATGTTGTTTTAAATTATTGTTTTATTAGTTGACTCCTATTGTGTTATTCTATATTGAATTTGTTCCCTGTACAGCACTTTGGTCAACTGAGGTTGTTTTAAATGTGCTATATAAATAAATAAATAAACATTGAGATTTAGATTGAGATTGGAATGGAAAATGCCAAATGATAGACGGCCCGTTTAGCCCTATGTTGATTTGCAGTAGGTTTATATTATGAGTATTATAATAAGAGTATGTAACAACTGTCATTTAGGTAAATGTGTGCTTCAGTTTCACAACCATTCAAGGACTCGGACAGACTGGCAATATATCAAACCTGTTTGCACTGAGCTTCACCAAGGGTGTGACCTTTTAAAAAAATATATATATATATCGAGGCAGGGTGAGGGAGGTGTCCCGTTGGGGACCTTAAGAAACATACTGACCGTGACCTCAAGCTCTGGTGCAGTCGGAGGTTGAGGTCGTTTGTTCCTCTGATTAGAATGTCTCCCATGCGCCCTTTGGTGGGTTTCCTGTTCAACTGATTGAAGACCCCAAGGTGGTTATTCTTCTCATCTGGCTTGAGGAGCTGGAAAATGTTGTTGGAGAGCGCCTGGACTACCTTGCTTAGCCTGCTGCCATAGCGACCCGACCTCAGATAAACACCGTCAAATAAATTGATGGATGAAAGTCATCAATCGGTTATACATTCCTGGGGTTACTTTGTGATGATATAAATTACCATATAGATTGTAGAGTAGAGAGGATTTCCTTGTAAATATTTGTATCCTGTCAGTCAACCCGTTTAACCTGGGTCCAGTTATGACAAGCCAGTGATGGAAATATTTGATCAAATTGGTACATTTTAGGGAAATCATGCTGATATATTTTTTTTATGTAACTCACTTCTGGTCAACTTTCTTAAGTCTGTTTTAGTTAGATTGTTCTTAATGTCAGTCCACATCTTCTAGAGAAATGTCTGTGAACTTATAACATGTCTGAACATGTTGACGGATCTAAATAAAGCTTATTAGCCACATATACCGCATCATTGAAGACTTTTGCTTGCAAATTATCATAGGCGTTCACCCTATGAAGTCATGTTTCGTGATTTGGTCTGATGAGCGTTAATGACGTAGTTTACTCAAATAGGAATAGGTGCACATTTGGCTGCTCTGAAAATGACTCGTAACTTTATATTTCTCTTCAATTGTTGAGGGTCTGTTGTTTGTTTCTTTTTGGTCACTTGAATTCAGGGTTTAATTATGACATCAGATCCCTCATGTTTTTTTAAAATGTATGATAAACTGTGGTAAAACTGATATCGTTGTCATCTAAAAACAAAAGCACATCAGTCATAACTTGAGAGAGACAATAATATACTATATGCTGTCAACAAGTACTGTATAAGGGTTGTTTGAAAGATATAAAAACATATTGTTTTATTGTGGCTGTAAAACTATTTGAGCATTTCTGGATGATAACTTTTTCTGTATGTAACTGCTAATTTATATGGTACCTCAAATAGAGCGTTATGTCCGGGTATAGACCATTATCATATTTTTACATTTAGATGTTAGATATCAACTGCCACTACATCCACAGCATGCAAAAACTGATGAGTATTGAAATGCAGAACGTTGTAAACAAAGCAATTGAAATAACACAATGAAAGAAAGTATTTAACTCCGGATCAGTTAGAACCCCTTTTTGAAAACACATGTTTTTATTTGCTGTATACTGTTTATTTCATTGTTTTTTTCAAATGAAATGCTTTAGCCTGTCTTCCTTATTCCTCTGTTGTACGTGATAAAGAGAATACTAACTTACTTGGCATTCAGAGAAGAAGGAAACTTGTTGCACCACTTTGTCATTCATTGACAGGCCTGTTCTCCTCTTATTGTCTCCTTATTATGCAATCAGTATGCTAAATTGTAGCACATCTATGCGCATCAATAATTAAGAGACAGTAATGGTGGAAGACAAGAGGAGAGATTGGCAGCATGCAATCACATTGTTCATAATTAACCATGGCGTTGTTAGCACAACTCATTTAAATTAGTTGATATGCTAAATGATGAGCTGTATTGGAAAATTAATGGATCCTTTCAGGATGATTTATAAGCATAATCCATTATTCAAAGTGCAGCCAATAGATCTAATTGAAAAATGGGAATTGAGTGATCACACAATGTATTTGGTTTATTGTTAAAATACCTTGCAACATTTTAGTGCCACAGTGACTTTGAAAGCAAGTTAAATATAAGCATAACATTGAAATCATGGTGGGTCATAAATAAGAGTAAAACTTATATTCCAAAAAGTCAAAATAATAGGTCAAGCATATAGGAAACGTTTTCTTTTTTTTCTGAATAATACAAAATCCCACAGTATTGAGGTAGGAAGCTGAAGAATCTGGAGGTATTTACAACACAGCTGCTCGGGACAGTCTCTCCTGCCAAGTCTTCCTCTCCCTCTCTCTGTCGGCCTTGGATAATTCACTGGAATCCCTCCTGAACCGGTTGGAACAATAGCCTATTAGGATCCAAATGATGGCCATGTGTTCTGTTTTCTCCGATTATTTCAAACAAAAAAAAGTAGCACCACCCCTGGCTGGCCCTTGAGTAAACAATGCACTGATTGTCTATGTTGGCAACTTGGCACGTCTTCTGTTGACTGCCTCCTGTTGCCTCTGCTTGGCTGCATACTGGTGACAATATTTTACAGTAGCCTTTTTGAGGCCAGATCTCACCTACATTTTTGTTGTTCCCAATATTAAATCTGAGGAATGATATCTATGATAAGGCACCTGAAGTGGTGATCAAATCTGTAGATTCGTTTTTAATCCAGATGTGTAGTGTATGGTTTAGAGTTGGGATGTTGGAAGTGGATATGGGTATCATGTCTATTGGTCTTCAATATCAGGATACATGTATTTATTATTCTTGCAAGAATGGAAGCAGTCATCACACGCAGGGCTGCGTGGGACAAATAGTTCCCAGAACAGTGTCCTTGACATGCTTGTATACAGAGAGGGTGTTTCAGTCACAAGATGCAGAATACCGGTTCAAAGCAGTATTCAATGATTAGCTAAGGCCTGCGTAAGCAATAAACATGACAGTCATATTTCTATCTCCATAGAGGCTGAATCATAATCGTTGTCACATAGCTATCATATGCCTAAAACAGTGTGTCCTGGCGCTGTTCTAGGTAATCACCTGTTACGTACGCAGCTACGTAGGGCCTTTGTTATCATGTGCTACTCTGATATTAGAAGAGTGCATTCAGTATTTTCCCAACAGTAACTGCAGAGTCAGTATGGCCAGAGCCTGTTTTCCTGTTCAAAGTAGACTACCAAAAATAAGCATCATGGTGTTAAAAATATGCAAACACTTCAAGTGAGAATAATCTATAGACGAGGAAGGAATAGACCATGACAGTACACTTTTCAGGATCACAGATCAATTTGGTGCAACACTAAAAAGTAGGTTGGCTGCCTTATTTATAAACGACTTGTTTATAGTTGGCAACATGAACTACAGTAGCATGATGTGTTACTACATTTAACTGTGTTGTGTCTATTTGGGCTTAGGTGGAATAATTAATTATGGATTCCCTGGCTCTAGCACCTAAAATATAACACCCAGTGTTTGTGTGTAAGTGTCTGTGTGTCTGTTTGTGAAACATTTGTACGTTTAGGATGTGCATCTGTTGCGGACTATTGCCAGTCATTGCCATCCGCAGCCTACTGTGAAATAATTGTCTGTGTTAGACTCAAACATGGGGTTTCATGCTGATCTGCCTTGTTTTGTCATTATCCTCCCTGCAACCCTTCCCCTTCTCTCCATTTTCGCTCATTATCTGTCGTCTGGTTTTCACCTCACTTTATCCTTATCCTTTGTATCTAATTTGTCTCCATCCCTCCCTCTCTCTCTAACACCATATCTCTCTCTCTGTTTCGTTCTCCAGCCCAGCGTTGTCCACAGTGGAGCTGTTCATCGCTAACTAGGCTGCCTCCAAGCCCACAGGTACGTCGGCTCCCCTCCTCCCCCCTCCACTTCATGCTCTATTTTTAACTCCACTCAGCAGGATCCTTCCCCATGATTCTTTTCTCTCTCAACCCAACTCACATCTCTGTCAACTCCTCGATACCCTCCCATCCAAGGGGGTAGGAATCTGTGGCCCAATACACGTTTATTAATTTATGACCATCCCTGCTCTTATTTTTTAATCATAAAATCGCTGCTTCAACCATATTTTACCATCTATTAGAGATGGCATATTCTATTTCAATTAGATCCTCTTTTGCTCTTTAGCTGAGGATTTATATTCTTTTACATCATATTATAAGATATACATTAAGTGTATTGGCTAGAAAACACATATAAAGTCTTTCTTTTACCCCTTCTGATGATATAACCATGGTTATGATTAGGACACAGCCCCATCTAAAGCACATGTAGTGCATTGAAACCTGCTGAGAGCCACACTGATTTAAATAACTGGATAAGCAGTGGATATGTTCATTCATGTCTCAAGTGGTTTGTTTTGTTAAGCTGCTACCTAGCCTCGCATGGAGCCTGGCAGCCATCTCCGCCCCCCTGCTGGGAGGAAACATAATGCTCTTGTTGGACTGTATAGCTGGAATCCTGGGCCTCGTCAGCTCCCTCCTTTTAGCCTCTTGTCTTTCAAGACCGCTCTACTGGCTTTTCCCAATGCGTATCCTCCTGACAAGAGCTTACAGCACATAACCTCCTCCAGTGGATGAGTAGCACGCGCGTGAAGTGCTCTTTGTTTCTGTGGGGAAACCATGTTGACTTTATTATATACTGGTTGAGTGGGTGTGCAGTTTTCTCACGTAAACAATTGTTGAAGTTATTTACTGTGATGATAAAGAATAGGTTGAAATGGATTGAACAGGATCAACTTCATCAACACAATGCATTCTCAATTACTGAAATGTCATTTTGACCGTATTACTGTTGCTGTTTAATTTATGCTTTAAACGTTGTAAACCTGAAAAAAACGTCTTTAAGTTAAAAAATAGAATACTTGGGCATTAAATAAATGTGTTACATCATTTAAGAAACAGGCGGCCCTCGAAACTATCCGACAAGGCAGTTTTGTCATGCAGTTAAATACCAGGCTGCCAGAAGATACCGTTGCTTGTGACTCAACTTATCCTATCGGAGGACATCCCATAATAAATATAATGTAACTAGATAAATTCATGCAACATTGATTCTCACTGATATACTTTCTACTTTGCTGTTGTCACCCTTGGGCTTGTAAGGCTTATTGGAGTACTACAGACAAAATAACAATAACTTTTTCTTATGAATAGGGTTTTTGTTCCCATGGTTACACTGTTCGTCTTTGATGTGAACCATTTACATTTAATATGAACTTGATCAAGGTTGTCTTTGATACAAAAGGAAGGAGGGATAGTGAGAAGAAAAGGCTAGATTGAGGCTCATTTAAAAGTAATTGAAGCCAGGCTTTTGCCCATCGGCAAACATTGTTTGATTTTAATGATGGCCTCTCAAGAACAGATTACAGTTTAAATAACTGCTGACTTAAATGATGAATTTCCATTTTCTGTTATGCGGTACAGACAATTGAAAGGGCTGGCCGTGTCTGGGGTAAACAACATTTTGTCCGCCTCTGCAACGCGTTCTGACTCGGTAATGATCCTCGTCTGTGTTCCCAGAAGTGGAACCTAGGACTAAGGATAGACCTGCCTTGCATCATTCCTCCCTGATTTCCCCATGCGTAACCTGCACAGGTAGACGGCTACAGGAAAATCCATTCGTCAAACTCGCTGTCCTTCATGCCTATAGACAGCCGGTGTCAATGGGAGGCTTTTGAGTTATTATGTGCCTTACCAAAAGAATCATGCAGCCAGTTTTTTTGTAGGTATTTGAAGGATTTTTACACACGCAGGCACTCAAATACACCCGCACATTATCTGTGTGCCTGCCTCCTGTCGTAGCACATCTCTCCCTCTCCAAGTACTCAGTTGTTGCCTCTCAAAGTGGCATGCTGAGATAATGCACACAATAACGCTGCCAAAGTTGTGATGTTGCATGCTGCACGGCTTTGAATGAGCAGCAATCATTTCAGTGCACTCACATAGTGCTTAGTTAAAGCAAATAATGTATACCCATGCCCATAAAAACACAGTGTGGTATGTTTGTATCATGTCAACCCCCTTTTTTTTCCTGTGTTGTTTCTCTATGCGTATAGCTCAATACTGTAGGACTGACACTTATAAGCAGACTTTAGATGATTGACTCATTCTATCTTGGACGTATTTCTGGTGAAAGCATGAGTTTCATTTCATTTCAAACCTTTATTTATCCAGGTGTATCCCATTGAGATCATTGATCTCTTTTTCAAGGGAGACCTGCTCAAGTAGGTTCCACATGAAACATAAAAACATAAACAGAACAACAAAAAGGACATCATACAGCAGGGCTATTCAATTGGCGGCCCGCGGGCCAAATCCGGCCCCGGGGTGATATTTACTGGCCCTTTGAGTATAATGTTAAAAAGTCATCAATTCTTTTTTTTTAAGATTTTTTTTTTTTAAGATTTTTTTTATTTATTTTTTTTGTGCCATAGTGCCTTTATTCCAGAGAGGGTGTTACATTGAGAGATAGAGGGGTAGACAATGCCTGAAAACTTCGACGGGCTCGGGTTTCGAACCCACCTACTATACTGTAGTGACAACTCCTGTCATTGATTGCATCTCTGCGTGAATGATTAGATCATTTCACCTAAATGAAATCAAATGAAACATGTAGGCCTACTGAGTTCTGAACTTGCCATTTAGATCTATAAAGGCCTTGGGGCTATGTTGTTTGATTGAATTAAACACAATATATGCACTCCACTATGCTGTTGTAGTATTTACTGTATCTGAAGCTCTTAAATATGATTGCTCATATTTCAAGCCATCTTTTTCCCGGCCCCTTGCTTTGGATCATTTTCATCAACCGGCCCCCATTCCAAACTAATTGAATAGCCCTGTCATACAGCATCATTACAGGATAGCTGTATTAGCAGCAGCTTGTAAATTGGCTGTTTCCTATATGAGCCACAAGGGCCCCTCTGGCCCTGTTCATACCTGCTATTAATATGTGCCATTTGTGATTCGATCACATGTGGTGCAGGTGTAAATGCAAATATTATAATTCTGCTGCACTGGACAGATCGGTCCCCTTCCTGCCTACTCTCATCCTTGGTTCTGTTTCTCACTCATTTTTAATCTAAGTCATAAATAGATTATTTTTACACTATATATATAAATAGTTTGCCCTTTTCTCTTTCCCACTCATGCATACCATTTCTCCTCCTCTACGCTTTTCTCATCCTTCCTTTCTCCTCTGGTCTATGCCTTCTGACAGCTGAGGTACCCTGCCTTGGCCAGGTAGAGCACTAGATGAAAGGTTTGCAGCCAGAGATCTCTTTCAAAGAGGCCTTCTGTTGCATCCGTGCTCTCCATGGGCGCTTGTCCCTGCCAGGCAGATGAAGAGAAAGAGGGTAAGGAAAGGGAAGGAAGGAAGGAAGGAAGGGTTTAAGATTGAAGGAAAGATATTGGAGACAAACCGCAGCAGAATAAAGAAAAAGAGAGAGTGAGGTCTTGAAATGTTGCCTTACTCCAGATCCAGAAGCTGATGCACCTGACTTCTGTAGATGATCAAAAGGCTTGGCATCCAGGTTAGTGCAGCGAGAGGAAGTGATGTGCCCTTGCTTTCACTCTGAGTCAAGTTTAGAGCTCCTTTTACACATCAGCAGTTTGGAGGTCGCCACGGGACATGTAGAGATTTTGAAAGTGTTCCTGATCCTGACATGTTTTTATCATCTGATGTCTTAGAGTCACACTGAGGTCTGGGTTCAGTTGAAGAAGAAACATCTTGTGCCCATAACAAAATCCTGTGCACTCTTTAAGGTGAAATGTAATGGCTTGTTTGGCTTCAGTCTGGATCTTGATGTCCTTTTTATATCTACTCTGGATTTGGTTTTGCAACAATGTAAGCGGGTTGCTCCCTCACGTTCAAATATATTTATCAAAGAGCCGAACTACAAACATATATGTCTCTGTGAAAGAAGTTTGATCTTGTGAAAATCAAGGTCTGGAAATTCACTTGTTTAACATCTTGTTTTGTGATAAATTATTTCTTCTCGAACAAATAAATAGAATCCTTATCCAATTGAAAAAGTCAGCTGCCTCCATTTTTAACAGTTTTACAATTTGTTAGATTAAACCAAAGCAGCTTCATGCTTGCAAGTTCAAACACATTTCAAAGCTTCTGTCAGAAAAGTCATTGCCTTTAGAACATTAAAAACATTAAGTCCAAAAAGAGATATTGTCACAATATAATCTATTTGGTTCTTAAGATAACCATCTGGTCCGTGATTGCATTCTGCTTGGTGATTGGATGGAGAACAAGCGGACTCTATGGTTTACCTACATAAATCTTCTCTGAAGACAAGCTAGATAATGCACTGTAGGTCCGAGCTGAGAGATTTAGCCTCTGGATGCTGCGGTGACAGGAGATATTGAGGGGAGGCATGCGGGCAGTAAAACAACTGACAGTTGGTCATTACGAAAGACGCAGGTGGGCCAAAAATCAATCACACCGAGACTGGCCTGGACTCTGACGGATGCCTGACGTCTGCTTGATGAAGAGCTCGGCTGTTCCTCTGAGTGATGGAGAGGAGGAGAGGGGAATGGAAGGGGCTAGAGCAATGAGGGAATTAGGTTGAGTTTGAGCATAAGAAAGAGGCATGGAGGTGGTGTGAAGACAATAATGAACCACTGAATCAGGGAAGGAGGAAAAAGGTTGAGGTACTGTATATGTTAATGAGCAGATATGTGGGTGAAATGGGAAAAGGTCAGCATTTAAAAGAGTAGAGGGCAAAAGGAGATGAAGCAAAAAAAAAGAAGAAAAGATAAAAGACAGGCCGGGAGAACAAGGCTACAGTTACCGTAACAGCACTTTAACAGCAGTGCGTGCAGGCC